TTATCAATATATTTTTAACCGGGGTACCCATATAACCTTTTTGCTTGTCATCAGAGGTATAGAAATAAGGTGTGTTTTCCACCAGAACCTTTTATTTATGCCTCATTGCACGGAATGAACACTATACTTAGAATGTTTGCCCTAAGTAATTTTTGCTGCTCCCAAGAATGTATGCAAAGTGATAGAGATTTGATTCATTCCGCTGACACGTTCTTTTAAATTATGGCGCGTGCAGGTTTTTTCTATCAACAGTCGCGCGTGCAACACACCGGAATTGAAAATTCGTCGTAAAATTTCATGGACCTTAGAATGGGTGTAGGCAACTTTGACTTCTGGCGAGATTAAGTGGATGGTTCAAAGGACCCCCTGAGACTTTTTTTCAGGACTATAACTGAGATTTGTTTATAACTATGATAATCGTCATCATTAGCGGACGGTGCTTTTTGCCCACTGTTGTCATCATTATCGTTATCACGCCGGAAGAAGTATAAAGCCGGCATGTCGCCTTACCTAGCTACACAGAAAATTGTTCTCTCTTTTGCTCCCCTTAGATCCTGGAAACTGTTACTATTAAGACGATCAACAAGAAAGCCTTTATAATTATTGAAACTTTTGATTAACAGAATGTAAGAAAAAATCGGTGGGGAGAGTTATTCGCGTATCTTATAATCTGAACGATAGTTTTAAATAAAACAAATAGCACTTAATTCAATTTACCTTAGTTGTCTCGTGTTTAAATGTGGCGTTTCTGGGGACCGTAGATTCTTCTCTGATTCTTATTGTCTCAGCCAAGGCTCACTATCATCAACTTTTTTCTTTTGCTTCTTACGGCATGGGACACAGAGGGCTGAGGTAAGCGATTGCAAATTTCTCAGTTAAAGTAAAGCCCAGTAGCATCCATCAGGAATTAAAAACCGACATGCACTGTTTACTTTTATTATTCTTAATCAAATAAGGGGTGTTTCAGTCTGCAAATCTAATCATACTGGTTAATGAGAATCATACAAACTGAGGAAAACTGACCGCAAATA